TTTGATGCTTCTTCTCAAGCAAAATGCTGTTGATCAATGCGTCTCCTAATGTGCTGAAGGGGGCTGGTTTCCATGTTCTCTATCCATGGGGGGTATCATTTATTGGTCACACAGAGGCCATTGTAGTCATGGCTTCCATCCTTAGGGGCCTAACTGCAAACATGCTTGTCACATGATTTTGCGGATGTGAGAAGAATGAGCCATGTCACTCAATTCCATGCACCCTTAAAGTATGGATCTAAAATGTCCTGGGATCTACCACTCAACATTATTTTAGTCTGGCCAGCGGTTGGGCATCGACCTATGAACCAGGAGGTCACGGTTCAATTCCCGGTCAGGGCACAGGCCCAGGTTGCAGGCTCAATGCCCAGTGGGGGAAGTGCAGGAGGCAGCCGATCAATGATTCTGTCTTATGGATGTTTCTATTTCTCTCTCCCTCAGGCTTCCTCTCTGAGATCAATAAAAGTGTATTAAAATTACTTTTAATGAGTTGTCAGCCACGGCTAAGAGTCCTTCTTTAATTCCATTCAAAGCAAGGCCAGGGAGGCCACTGTCATAGAGTTCCACACACGTCACTGACGCTGCATGTTGGCACGAGAGCTGTACCTGTGGAGTGAATGCCTGCAGGTCTGACATGACGTGTGGGCCTCCGTCGTGTAACACGGAACAGGCTGAGTGTGACGGGGACGGGACCATGGGCACCGGTGTCTCCAGAGGCTACGTAGACGGCACAAGCCCACGGGGACATCACGACCCTGAAGTGACGTCTGAGGCGCCTCCATCTCCCAGGCACCTGGGGACCAGTTAGAGCCTGAGCACTGGAGGGGCCCTGGGATCCAAGGGACGCGTGTGACCAGTGCCTCCTGCTGAGGATGGGAGTGCAGAGACCCGAGGGCCTCAGGACATTATCCCTGTCCCCCCCGCCCTCTCCTGTTCCCTGACTCCAATACCCTGTGAAGGATCATAAAGTCACAATAAGCCTCGCTTAGATGTGACCATTAAACAGTCAATTAAGTGACTAAAAAGTAACCAGCTGGTGGTGCCAGAGAGAAATCCCAATAAAACCAGAGCCAACTTCAGACGCCCATTAGCCCTGAGGGTAACCAACACTCCCCTGGCAGAGTCGGTGAGATCGCCTGATATTTGTCTTTGGGGATGAGGCGGTCTGTTCTGTTCGACTGTCACTCACATTGTTCCATTTTGGTGCATATTTGTAACAGCTGACACTGGCTGCCAGGGACTGCGCCGAGCATTTGTCCTGGATGAACCTACTTGTCCTAACACACATCTGTGCTGTCCCCTTATTTCCACACGAGGACACTGAGGCAGAGGGGTCAGCACCTGCTGGGGACCCCACAAGCGGGAAGCTCCAGAGCTGAGCTTGAACCCCGGGAGTCTGGCCCTGAAGATGGGCTCTTGGTCACAACCCACTTGTTGGGGTCCAGCCCCAGTAGGTCCAGGGGTCCCCAAAGGTGTGGACGGAGTCGGCGAAGAAGTAATGACATGGAGACAGGGTTCAGTTCATCAGCATAGCGAGGTTCTCCCTCCAGGATCTCCAGCCAAGTTCTGTCCAAGATCTCCAGCCAAGTTCTGTGTACAGGTTCTCTTGCTAGGTTCTCCATCCAGCTTCTCCAGGTTCTCCAACCAGGTTTGATCACCAGGTTCTGTAGCAAGGTTCTCCAGCCAGGTTCTATCCAGGTTCTCCAGGCAAGTTCTGTCGCAAGGTTCTGGCCAGGGTCTCCAGCCAAGTCCTGTCTCTAGGTTCTGTCTAGGATCTCCAGCCAAGTCCTGTCTCTAGGTTCTGTGTGCTGTTGTCTTGTTACATCTGTATTTATACCAGTTGATTCCAATCCTATCAATCTCTATTCCAAAGGTTAGGGCGTTTCTTATCTCCATTCCAGGGAGTAAAGATTATGTAGCTTAAGCGTGATTGTTTGTAGTTAAAGTGATTAACTACCCACCTGGCAAGTAGTTAAGGGGTTTTATCCCCTCCCTAACTTCAGGGAAAAATCCCTACCTGGGGAAACAACCTTTCTCAGAGAGGTGACCTTGGTTAAAACAAATAGCACCAAGAAGGTGAGCAAACATATTAAGAACAGTATGCCATATATGCCAGGTCCCTTGAAACAGCAAGGATGGACCGGCTCCCGGCACCCACTGAGGGAAACTTCCCACATTTGAAAGAGAGACCCCAACGGCCTCCAGATTCTCAACAATGTGTAGAGCTGCCGGTTAGGGCTCTGAGGTGGCGGGACTGAAACTGCAACAATCTGAGGATAAGTTGTGCAATAAATGCTCTAATGTTTCCACAGGGGAAAGGTGTGTGCGTGGTGTTCTTAGATCCCTAGTCCCGTCTCTGAGGAAATGTTGGTGATTTCATGCTTCAGGGTTTGCCTACTTCAAGTGTGTGGACGTCAGTGTGTTTTTGTTGCTGCTACAGTTCCTGTCGCTAAGGAGCCACTGTTTCTGTTAGGTCCACAGTGACAGGTTTGCAGGAAGGATTGCTGTCCCTGGGCCAATACTATATTCAGATACAGCATCAACTTTCATCCATTCTAACTATCTTTCTCACTAGATTATCTTAGATTTCTCTGATGGTTGATTATCTACATACTAGTGGCCCAGTGCATGAAATTCATGCAAATTAAAAGGGAATTAATTAAAGAAAATATTTTAATATTGCTATTTGCCCTTTCTCTGTAATAGAAGTGTCAGGAATGAAAGAAAATTGGTAAAGTGCATATGAAAATCCCCCTACTGTCAGAATCTGGGGTGAACCACAGGACCCAGAGACAGGTCCACGCCCACCCACACCCACTTCAAAATCGGGCGAGACCCAGAGCCGGCCAACCCCACCCCCATCAAGCCCTGCATGGCTGGGGGCACAGCCTCAGGTCCTGCGGTCCGGCCTCAGGTCACCCTTCCCGGGCGCGAGGGTGGGAGGGCATGACAACGATTGGCATATCAGCTCTATATTTTATAGGATTACGACCAACTTATTGATGGCTTTTTATATGCTTTCCCCCTGGTTGGAAGAGAATGTTGTCAACAAGTTGAGAGCCTCTATGTTTACTAGTCTTTATTTCACAGCAGCTTTTAGTTCACAGAAAACTTGAGCAGAAAGTAGAGAGAGCCTGGCCGGGGCATCGCAGTGGTTGAGCGTCACTCTGTGCGCTGATGGTTTGCCAGTTCAATTCCTGGTCACGTCCCACACCAGCTGCTGCCTGAATGCCCGTCCAGCACGTACAGAAGGCGCCCGCTGGGTGCTTCTCATGGCCCTGGTGGGATTAAAACACAAAGAGAAAGGAGAGAGAGGTCCCACCTCCCCTTTCCTTCCGGACACATGGAGCCTCCACGGGTCAGCACCCGGCCCGGTGCTGCCGGGACCCAGGGTCTCAGGTGCTGGGCCGGGTGTGGTGAGAGGGTGTGTAGGTCACAAGGAACTGCCCAGCTGTCCTGCCGAGTGGCCGTGCTCCCGTGCACCCCTCCAGCAATGAGGACGCGTTACTGCTGCCCCGCACCCCTGCCAGCACGTGGTGTCGGTCAGTGAGCTTCTCCAAACAGAGAAAGAGGAGAAAGGACTGAGCAGGTGGAGGAACGAGGGTGGCATCACTGAGAGGATGGGATTGAGTCAGAAACCCAGATGCAAGCAGCTGAGCTAGAACGTCAGTGCCATGTCCCTCCCTTCCGTCTGACAGGTCCCCACCGCCCGACACCTGTCAGAATCCTGTCTGTGCTGCGTGGTCTCAAGCCCGCTGCCCTGTCACCTGCTTCCCACAGCCTGTCTCTGAGTCGTGCGGCCTCCCTGTGCCCCATGGAGCAGCGGCCCACGGTCGGCACAGGTGGGGGACCAGCCCTGTGGGTGCTTCTCCTGTGGGGCCCGATGACCACAGGGGCCACCTCTGAACCGACAAGTGAAAGTGTCACTAGGACACGTGAGCGTTGATGGATCTGAAGTTGTGTGCATGGCTTTTCCACAGGCGCTCGAGTAGGAAGGTGGCAGTGGGAGGGTGGTCCTCCTCTTGGCACTGTTTTCTCCGAGGAGGCGGACACCACGGACTTACTCCCTCCACTGCCCAGTGCAGCCCTGGCACAGCGGGCACCATTTTACCCTGAGGGTGCAGCCCAGCCACACTGAGAGCTCGTTCACTCAGGGTCACGCATCTCCCGCAGGAACATGTGCTGACCCTCTTCTCTGTGCCAGGCCCTGGGCTGAGGGAAGAGCAAAGCGGACCCTGTCCGCACTGAAGGAGCTGAACCCCAGGGGCTCCCCCCACCGACAGGGCGCGCACTGTGACCCTCCCACCTCGGGCGGTGCCGAGGGAGCCGTGCCCGGTGCCAGCAAGTCCCGCTCTGACCAAGTCCCCGGGCTGTGACGCTGATGGATGGCATCAGCCGTCGGTGAGGAAGGGTGGCTGGAAGCCAGGCCTTGTGACCTGCCCCGTCCCCTGTGGCAGGACCAGTGAGGCTCACTGGGTACAAATAGCCCTGGGCTCCCCAGGCTGCTCAGTCCAGCTCCTCAGCGCTCACTGTTTGCTCAGCTGAACGCTCAGCCGCAGGAACCATGAAGCTGGCCCTGTCTCTGCTGCTGGTCACTCTGGCCCTTTGCTGCTCTGACGGTGAGTGTCACGTCCACTCAGACACCATCAGCCGGGAAGGGCCCTTCTCCGGTCCCGGTGACTTACATGGGGAGAGGGGAGGGGGACGGTCAGAATAAACCTTTCCCTCGCCCTGTGGACCAGCCCCCAAAGCCCAGCACTCGGGGTATCCGATCCCGGGGCTCTGGAACTTCTACAGAAACCCCCGCAGGCCAGTGTGGGCGGTCCCGTGGGAGGCCCCACTCCCGCCTGGTCTGGGTCGCAGAAGCAGCAGGACAGAGTCACCTTCTCGTGAGTCAGGGTCCTGCCCCTGCAGCGCTGTGGCCTGGAACACAGGCTGCATCTCCCCAGGCCTCTCCTCCCTGGATCCCAGCGCCCAGGAGAGAAGCTGGGGCGATGGCGGAGAGGAGGTGGCCGCCCTGGTCTCACCGACGTCTCCTCACCAGGGTCTCTTAGGTGCCAGGTGAGCCCAAGCTGTTGGACTCCTAGGTTCAGACTCAGAGAATGTTCCAGCAGGAGAGGGCTCCGTTCAAGAGGAGCAGTGCCGCCCGAGGCTCAGAGTGGCCAGTGTCCACGTGGCTCTGAGACCCAGAGGCGCTCAGGGGCCCGACTGGCCCGCTCCTCCTCCAGGGCCCAGCCAGGACGTGTAGAGCCAGTGTGAGCGCTAGGGCCACAACTGCCCTTTTTCCAGGTGAATGTGTCCAGTGGCCAGCAATGCTGGGTGTGTCCTCACGCCCTCGGGGCTGAGCCAAGTCCTTTTGAGTCTCTTCCATCTGACTTTCTGTACCTGGTCCTCTCTCCCCACGTGACCTCTGACCTGACCCTCCACCTCCCTGCAGAGCGGCTGTCTCCCAGGTGGGAGGGGCCTGGTGGGCCCAACCCAGCTGTAGGCGCATGCAGAGGCCTGAGTGTCGGGGATGGAGAATCCAGACCCGGAAGTGGTTCCTGCAGGTCTCAGCACAACCCACTGGGTGGAAAGTCAGCCCAGTCCCTGCGCCCCCTCCAGGGGGTTCTGTCCTCAGGGCGGAACCAAAGAGCCAGTCGTGGTCTGGCCTCAGCGTCAGGTGTGACACTCACAGACTTCCTTGGTTAAGCCTGAGCCCTCTCTGTCCCATGACATGATCCCAGTGTTAGACTGAGCCTCCAAGGGCATCCTCCATCCCTTAGTAGCGTTCCTCCCTCCTCTCCGCATTTACTGTCTCCCTCTGGGCCCTCTGCCAGGACCTGACCCTACCCTTCCCTGGAAAGACTGAGAGCTAACAGCTCCCTCCCCCAGTACCAGACAAAGGCAGGTGAGGCTCTATTGAGGGGCAAAGCTGAGGCTTTGAAATCCAGGGACAGTGACTGGGGCAAAGCAGGGGACTCTGGGAAGGCCTGGGTGTACTTGGTAAAAGGGAAGACTGACCAGGGGTGGTCACCTGTGCTCCATCCGGGCTCCACTTTGTGCTCTGTGACCCGGCGCCAGTGAGGACTTGGGGGAGATGCATTGTCGCTGGAGGAGGCCATCTGGCCCTGGGCTTCCTGTCTAGATCTTGGGTCACAGAGGCTTGGGGGAAAGTGACTTTCCTACATCCAATGTGTTTTTATCTCTTCTGCTCCAGCAAATGCAGAAGTCTGTCCAGTTATTGAAAAAGGAGCGAGTAGGTTCATCATGAAGAGGAATCTAGGCTTCAAAGAGACCCTTCTGATGTTGAGCGCACCTAGATCCTTCTACCAGGCTGTGTTGGATGTGAAGCATTGCACAAATAGTATCTCCTATTCTGGCAGAAAAAAAATTAACAACGTTGTGGTAACTCCATTCTCTTTCTGCATAGAGGCTGCTGCTCAGCTGCATGGCCAGGCGGGAGGAGGGTGCAGCTCTGGGGGGCACAGGCGGGGGCACCGGTCCCTCTGCTCACCTCTGAGAGAGGGGCCTGTGACCAAGGGTGGATGGTGACCTGACACCCGCTGGGCCAGCCTCAGGCTGCACAGCTTCTGTAGGCCCCTCCCTGGGCTCCAGGTTCCCCACGTGTCCTGAGTGGGGACAGCCAGGGCCCAGGCGGTGATGGTGAAGGGCCAGACACTGCTGCCTCCCTGCCTGGGAGCGTTCTGGAGGGCGAGGTCCCTCACTGGAGGCAGAAGGCACTGTCCCTGGGGAATAATGCCATGGGGTGGGGGTGCACAGGGGGAGGCAGGGGAGGGAGGGAGATGGCCCTGCCCTGTGAGGAGGGAGGCAGGCGGGGCTCTGGCAGCTTTTGCAGAGCCAGGCCCAGTCCCTGTCCCCTTGCTCCTTTCCCTCCTCAGCCATCAGGCCAGAGGGCAGGCGCCCTACCACTTCAGTCCTCTGCAGCCGAGGGTGGAGCTGACCGCCTGGCCTCCCTGTCTCTCTGGGGAAATTAGCATTGGGGGGGGGTTTAGCTCCTCGATCCTCGAACGAGGTCGGGCTTTAAGCACAAGTCCCCACGGGCAGGGCCTCAGTGTGGACATGTCAGTGCGCCACCAGGTTGCACGTCCCCACCAAGGGCTGCAGATCTCTGCAGGGAGATCCTCCT